TGGGGCTGGGGGTCACCCTGTCTGTCTCCCCAGGGCGCTCTGTGGGACCCCCGGTTACCTGGCCCCGGAGGTGTTGGACCGCAAGGGCCATGGGGTGCCCTCGGATGTCTGGGCCCTGGGCTGCACCGTGTAAGTGGGGGGCTGGAGGGAGGGAAGGGGGGCAGGGGGTGCTCCCGGCCCCACTGAGCAGCCAGACCCCCCCTTCCAGGTACACGATGCTGACGGGGACCCCCCCGTTCGAGGCGGCTCAGCGGGAGGAGCTGTACCGGCGCATCCGGGGGGCACAGTACCCCCTGTCCCCCCACCTCTCCCCCCGAGCCCGAGCCCTCATCGCCCGCCTGCTCGCCCCCGAGCCCACGGCACGGCCCACCCTGCAGGACGTGCTGGACCACGGCTTCTTCACCCAGGTATGGGGCCGGCAGTGGGGGGGGACACACACAGAGCCCCCAGGGACACGCCGAGGGGGTGTCATTGCCAAGGGGGGGTGTCATTGCCTCTTGCTCCCCAGGGTTTCACACCGGCCACGCTGCCGCCCCGCGCCTGCCGCTCGGTGCCCGTCTTCGTGGGACAGGACCCCCTGTGCGGGCTGCTGCGGGGGGCTGCCACCATGCTGGCGGGGGGGTGGCCATGTCCTGTGTCACCCCGGAGGGCAGCCATGTCCTGTGTCCCCCCCGCCCCCAGAAAAGGAGCAGCTTCCCCGGCAGGACCGGAGCCAGGCAAACGTCCGCTGAGGAAAACCTTTATTAGTGCTAGGAACCGCCTAAAATCCAGTCATTGAAACAAGCAGGGTGGGACGTGACCAGTACGAACGGCAACGGCACACACACACACACACACACACACACACCAGTTTGCCCGGAGGAAAGGTTAACAGGAAAATAATAAAAAAAAAAAACCAACAAAAAACCAACAAAATAAACCCAAAAGGGACCTCTCTTCCCCACCAGCCTGGGACGAGGAGCTGGGGGAGAAGGTGCAGCTCGGGGGGAGCCTGGTCCTGCTCCTGGGGGTCACCCGTGGACCAGGAGAGGTGTGGGGTCCCCCCCGGGCTCTGCCTCTCACCACGACACCAGCAGCCGGGGGTCACCGGAGGGAGGGAGGGGGTGAGGGTGTTATTTGTGGCCTGGGAAGGAGGGAGGAAAGTGCACGATTTCCCTGCTGGGGTTGGGTTCTCTCCCCCGGGGAGGAGAGGTCTGCGAGGAAAGGCCGAAAGCTCAGTAAAACATGACATTTAAAACACCCACAGCGTCACCCGGAGAGAGCCCGGCCCCCGGACACTCAGAATGCCTACAACAGGGGGTGGGGACAAGGACAAGATGCTCAAGGTGGCCCCAGCAAGCACCAAGGACCCCTCCACACGTCAGCACATGAGGGGACCGGCCAGGGAGGGTGTCACCGGCCATCCCGTGTCACCGGGGGGGGGTCTGGGGGAGGGAGGTGACAGCAAGGACTTTGTCTGCACTTGGGGGGAGCTTTTTTCCAAAGGCTGCCATCAGGGGCCGTGGAGAAGGAAGGCAGAGCTGCCGTGGTGACACGGCCCAGAGGAGAGGAGAAGGGAAGGGGCCACATGGGGAGGGAGACCCTGATGGGGGGGTGGGTGACTGGGACGGTGGGTGCCAGCGTGGGGACCCTCCGTGTGCCCAAACCCCCAAGAACCACAGAGGATCGATGTCACAGCCCTCGAACGGTGTCACACAGTGACCTGAGGTGGGACACCAGGAAAGATCTGAGATCTGCCCTCCCTCGGGCTGGGGAGGGGAACTCACAGCTCCCCCCCGAGACCCTCGCCTCCCCTCCAAGCAGCCAGCCCTTCACCTGCCTTCCCCCCCCACCAATGGCTGCTAAAAACCCTTTCCCTGGCCACGTGTGACCCCTACGGGAGCTAAACCAGAAACCAGCCTTTCCCCTGGGGTCAGCCCCCCCCCAGGGGCAGCTCTGACCCATGGCCCCACACCCCTGGGCAGAGCTGCCCCCCTGGGGCACCGCAGAGAGGGAGGCACACTGTGCCGTGACACACAGGCATCAATTTTAGGGTTCTTGGGGACAGGGGGACAGCTGGGGGGGCAGGTGGCAGAGCCCGGCACCGCACCCAGAGCCCCTTTGATATTTTTATCCCCGGCATCCCGTGCCCTTTGATGTTATCCGCCTTGGTTGTTTTTTTTCCCCTTTCCACAGCCCTCCCCTGTCCCACCCTGGATTAGAGGTGACAGCAACAGCCACACACCCTCTGCTGCCACCATCCCAGCCCAGAAGCCATGAGCTGCCCTGAGGTGGCCCCGGGAGGGGAGGGGATGCCACAACCTCCCAAGGACACAGAGCAGCACCAGGGTCACCCCCTGCTCTGGGAATAGCTGTACCGGCCGCCTCTGCCCCCTCTCCCGGGCCTGCTGCCCCAGAAGGAATATCTGAGGGGCTCAGGACAGGACGTTCCAGTAAATCCAGTAGTTTTTAAGCTCTGGGATCTCCCCATCTTTATTCCACGGCCACCAGCTGCCCCAAGCTGGGGGGAGCACGACTCCCAGCGCAGCTTCTCAGGCTGCTTGTTTGATGCTCCGGACAGTGAGCTCTGTCCTGGGGCACAAACCAAGCCCAGCCCGGGGGGAAGTCTCATCTCTTAAAAAGAAGGGATTTTAAAACAATTTTTCAAGTTTGGTAACTCCTCTCGCCCTCCTCCCCAGCTCTAAATGAGGCTGAAACTCACCCTTCGTGCAGAAATCAGGTTCAAAGTTCAGCCAATTTGTGTGGGGGCCACCGAGAGCCCCGTTCCCCTCGACGGGGCGGGGGGTGACAAAGGGGATTCAGTCCCTTTGCAGAGCTGTCACCGCGGGGCCCTGGACCAGGGCTGATCCCGGCTCCTGAAGCCCAGGCTGAGCTGGGAAGCAGATCCTGGAGGAGCAGCTCCAGGCAGGGGCTGGCCCAGGACACGTTTGGTGACAGGAGGACATGGGATGGCTTGTCCCGAGAGGGCTTGGTGTGGAGAGAAAGGAGGTGGCGTGACTCGAACCGGGCTGGGGCAGGTCCTCAGCAGGCTGAAGGCAGCGAGTTGCTCTCCACCTTCAGTCCTTTGCTGGCCAGGAAGGCGTCCTGCTTGGGCTCGCGGCCCAGGAACTTCTTCAGCATGTCAGAAGCATCCAGGGAACCCCCGGGGTGCAGGATGCAATTCCTGTAATCCATGCCCACCTGCGAGGAGAGACGGGGGGGTACACGTAGGACACCCACCCTCCCATGGCCATCTCCTGCCACCTCCGAGAGCCCGGCGGCGCGGGACGCCCTGCCCTACCTTACAGTTCATGATCCCCTCCTGCTTGAAGCGTGTGTGGAACATATCCATGGAGTACACCTCGCTCCAGAGGTAGCCATAGTACTGGGCATCGTAGCCTCCAGCCAAGTGGCCAAACGTGGCGGGCATGTTTGTACCTTTGGGGCAAAAGGGAAGGGAAAGGGCGTTAACGGGAAGCGCTCACGGCACAGAACATCCCCCCCCAGCTGTAAATCTGTCAGAGTGGGCACTGGGACAGCCCGTTCCCCATCCCAGGGGAAACAGGGAAGAACTTTCCAGTTATTTTTGCACGGTTTCAGCCCTGCTTTTCCTGGAGACAGCAAAAAACGGCCCCGTTGAGCCAGCGTGAAGCCCCAGCCTTGGAAAGAAGCTGCTGAGCCAAGGTTCCAGGCCAGGCCTGGAGAGCGGGCGCGAGCGGGACCCCCCCGGGTACCTGGGGTGGCAGGGACACCCAGCACCTCCTCACACAGCCGGGCAAACACCTCCACGGGGTCGGCCTTCGTCTGGGTGTGCAGCGCCTGGTCCACCTTGGCCAGGACGATCTGACGCAGGTTGAAGAGCCCTGGTTGTCAGAAAGAGGAGGACAAACTGAGTTCCTTTCCCTGTGGGCAGGAGTGTCCCTGAGGCCGGGCAGGTTGGGGGGCTCCCACTGCTCTCCCCACACCCAAATTTCTGACCCACTTCACTGACCGGACCAGTTCAGCAGCACCCACTCAGGTTAATCCCCATTCCCTGCCTGCAGATAATCCCTGCCTTCCTCAGCACCTCCTCACTGTGCCACCACCCCTGCTTGTCATTAAGGGTCCCCTCCCCTTCCCCAGGCACAGAGGACACCCCGGCGAGGCTCTGCCCTTCCCTGGGGATGTCACACAGCCCTCGCTCCCCCTCTCCAGCCCCTCTTCCCTCTGCAGGGACCCACCTGTGTTTGCCTGCCGGGATTTAATGAGCTTTTCCAACAGCTCATCGGGGATGGGGCTTCCAGTTTTGTAGTGCCTGGACATGCGCAGCAGCGGCTCCTTCTCCCACACCCAGTTCTCCAGCATCTGCGACGGCGCCTCCACGAAGTCCCGCTCCACGTGTGTCCCACTGAACATGGCAAACTCCGCCTGGGAGACACGGCCAGCTCAGAGCCGGGCATCGTTTGACTCCACAGGGGAGCACCACAGGGGAAAAGGTACCACAGCAAACCCTCTGCCAGCCTGGTCTCACCTGAGAGCACAGCTGGTGCATGACGTGCCCAAATTCGTGGAAGTAGGTTTCCACCTCATCGTGCTGCAGCAGGGAGGGTGCATCTGGGGTGGGCTTGGTGAAATTGGCCACCATGGCAGCCACCGAGATCTGCCGGCTGGAGTCTGGCAAGAGGCAGCCGGGCTGCAGGCCGAAGCAGGCCGCGTGCCCGTATTTCCCCTCCCTAGGCCAAGGAAAGGAGATTGTCACACAGATCCTCCACCGTGGCCAGTCACGAGCCACTACGGTCCTCCTTGGAGCAGAAGTCACCAGGGGGTGACCCTGTTCTCCTGGGACAGCCCTGCCCGAGGACACACTGCTCCCTCTGCACAGCCACATGTTTGGGAGTGGGACAACCTCTCCCCTTCCCCAAAACACGTGGCACGGCCCCAGCCCTCCTCTCCCCTTTGCCCAAGCTCTCACCGTGGGTACAGGTCCAGGTAGAATTTGCCAATGGTCTCCCCGGAGGAGGTGTCCTTCACCGTGTAGAGCTGGACATCCTCGTGCCAGACCTGAGCCTTCTCTTCCAGGTGGAAGGTGAGCCCCAGCAGCTCCTGGTAGATGGCCAGCAGGCCAGTGGTGACCACCTGCATGGGGAAGTACTCCTTCAGCAGGTTCTGGTCCACGCTGTACTTGGTCTCCTCCACCTGGTTCATGTAGTAGCGCATGTCCCAGGCGTTGATGCGGTTGTCAAACTCCAGGCCACGCTTCTCGCACTCTTTCTTTTTCAGGTCCAGGATCACAGCCCGTTCCTTCTCCCCGAGGGGTTTCAGCTTCTGGGCCAGCTCGTCTGGGAAAAAAACAAGGCAAGAAGGGTTAGTGCCCGTGGCCGAGAGCCACACACCCAGCCCAGCGTGTCCCTGCTGCTCCCCTCCACAGCCACGCGCCGTACCCAGGAAGGTGGCCACTGTCTTGCTGCTTTTAGCCATGTTCATCTCCAGCACGAAGTCTGCATGTGTGTTGAAGCCCAGCAGACTGGCTTTCTGAGCCCGCAAGTCCACCAGCTCCTTGAGGATCAAGCAATTCTCCTGCGAGGTAGGGTCAGACAAAGAGTGAAGCGGGGTATGCAGGTAAGAAAGGAAACACAAACCTCAGAGGAGACCATCTCAATGCTTGGACCTGACCTGGAGTCCCATCTGGCCCCGCTGGTGAGCAGCAAGGCCTGCCTACCTCTTTGCACCTGGAGTTGAACATTTCCTCCACCTTCCTCCTTGTCTCGGGCACGTAGCACTTCTTCAGGAGAGGGAAATAGTGCGGGTATTTCAAGGTGACTTTCAGCTTGCCATCCTCCGTCTTCTCCAGGGAGTTGAGGAAGTCCTCAGGGAGCCCCCCTGAGAAAAGAGCAGACAGGAGTGATGCAGAGCCCAGGCCTCTCCAGACATACCAGCCCTGGGACTGATTCCTCTTGCTCCTCGGCCAGAGGAATCCAGGCACTTGGGGCCACACCAGCAGAGAAATAAGCCCGAGCTCTCCGTACCCAGTTCCTCCTTGGAGAAGGGCAAAAACGTGGTGTCTTCGTTGAGATTCTTGTTGAAGTCTATGCAAAGGATGCTCAGCTTTTTCTTAATAGCTTTGATTTTCTATAAAATACAGCAGAACAGAGAAAAGTCAGCCCAAAAAAGTAGAGTCAGACAGAGATTGAAGCGAGGTACGCAGGCGAGAAAGGAAGCACAAACCTCAGAGACCATCTCAGTGCCTGGACGTGACCTGGAGTCCCATCTGGCCCCGCTGGTGAGCAGCAAGGCCTGCCTACCTCTTTGCACCTGGAGTTGAACATTTCCTCCACCTTCCTCCTTGTCTCGGGCACGTAGCACTTCTTCAGGAGAGGGAAATAGTGCGGGTATTTCAAGGTGACTTTCAGCTTGCCATCCTCCGTCTTCTCCAGGGAGTTGAGGAAGTCCTCAGGGAGCCCCCCTGAGAAAAGAGCAGACAGGAGTGATGCAGAGCCCAGGCCTCTCCAGACATACCAGCCCTGGGACTGATTCCTCTTGCTCCTCGGCCAGAGGAATCCAGGCACTTGGGGCCACACCAGCAGAGAAATAAGCCCGAGCTCTCCGTACCCAGTTCCTCCTTGGAGAAGGGCAAAAACGTGGTGTCTTCGTTGAGATTCTTGTTGAAGTCTATGCAAAGGATGCTCAGCTTTTTCTTAATAGCTTTGATTTTCTATAAAATACAGCAGAACAGAGAAAAGTCAGCCCAAAGGGGGAAGCCAGACAGTGTTCCCCAGCCAGCAGCCCGCCCGCCGAGCTGCCCAGCAGCCCCCACTTGGCTCTGATTCAGACGCGACGCAGCAGAATTAATTGGGTGCAGGCGCTGAGCGCTCAGCCCAGAACAGGCTCCCTTTGATCACACCTGGTAGGAAAGCAGCCACCTCAGCAAGGTCCCAGCTGTCTCCTGCCAGCTCCGGAGCTGCAGGTGTTTAAGCAACAACCTCCCCTACCCTTATTTTGTTTCACCTTCTCTTCTATTTTTAACCCAGCTTCCAGCTCCTTCCCCGAGCTGTTGGCACACGGTGGGAGAGGGAGATGCTGAGCAGTTCAGTGCCCCTCAGCCCCAGGGGGACCCCATCCCCGACTGCCCCCTTGCATGTGGGGACCATGAGCTACTTCCACTCCTGACCTGCACAGTGCTGTCTGCAATATCTTGGCTTTTTGGGAGCCCCCTGACTCCCAGCATCAACCCCATTTTGTAAACGTCATCTCCATCCAACAGAGAGGAAAAAGCAGGACATGGAGACATCACCCAACACCCCCAAGGTCACACGAATCAGAGGCAAAATTGGGGCTCAGTCCTCTGCTCTAACCCTATACCATCCCATAGCCCTGCAAAGCCTCCTCTACGTGTGCTTCCTTTAAGGTCTGAGACCTCACCTCCTGCGTTTCCTCAGGGAGATGGAGACCATTTCTCTTCCCCAGTTTGATCAGCCTCTCCAGGTACCTCTTGGCTTCAGGCTTCAGGGAAGCGCTCTCTGCTTTCTCCTGTAAAACAAAACCCATGAGCACAAGGAACCACAGGATCAGGTGTAGCAGAATGTTGGTTCCTGGGAGGAGTTATGGGTTATGTGGGTCACACCAGTGACCCAGAAGGAGATGGAAACACCCCAAACACTTTGGTTTGGTGCATTGCTTCCTACCATATTCACAAGAGGGCTTTGGTTTGGTGCATTGCTTCCTACCATATTGCTTTAAACACGTCTCCTTTATGCCATAATACAGCATTTTTCAGGGCTTCTCAGCCCCTTCCCTGCATGAGGCAGCAGGGTTTACTAATGTCATCTCTTCAAAGGGGTAATCGAGGCCCTGAGGGGGCACAGAGCCCCAAAACCCCAACTCCCCAGTTCTCACTAACAGCTGGACCATTTTTCCACCCTCACTCAGCGATTCGGTTCCAGACCTGACCCGATATCATTCACTTCTAAGTTCTGGGACAAGGGAACAGGGTTTGATCTAACTCCAGGAGGTTTTGGTGCCCTGCTGGCAGCGCGTCCTCCCAGGCACACACCTGGAGCCAGACAATCCTCTGGTACACGTCCTGCCTCATGCTCATCTCCACGTCGAACTCCGAGAGCTTCTTGTCGGCCTCGGTGCTCGCCGCACGGATGTCTTTGCAGGGAGAGACGTGCTGGGGGAAGTCCAGCATGTTCCGATGGACTGGAAAGACAGAGGAGGGATTACAGGGAAGGCAATGGCTTCACGTCCCAGAACTGCTCGTGAGTGGGAGTGCACACAGAGAGCCTGTGTTAATTGGGAGCCAGTTTGACGACCCTGGAGCCTGACCTGCCCGCCCACACAAAGGAAGAGCAAGGCAAGCTGCGGCCGGCAGACAAACCCAGAGCTGTCCTCTCCAGCAGCCTCTGCTCACCCCTTCCTCGCTGCAGAGCACGTCTGTGCACCCATTTCCCACTACAATCCATCTCTCTCACAGAACTCACACAGATTTCATGCCTGTGAGATGCCAGGGGCTTTGCCCTGGCTGTAGCTGGCATCAACCCTTTCAAGAACCAAGCACTTCCATGCTGGCAGACACCGGGGCAGCGTCGCTGCACGGCTCCTTCCCTTAGAGGGCCAGGCTACAGCTTTACCACAGGGGCTCCTCAAAAGCCACCACGTCCCAGGTGCGCTGTATCCTGACGTATTTCCATTTCAGAGATGAGACGGGGAGAACATTCCCTCCCACCACCTCTGCAAAACTTCAAATAACACAACTCCAGCGGGAGCGAGAGCTCTCCGCCCAGCAGAAGGTGAGCAGGCAGCTGCTCTCTGCTGCCCGGGGAAAGTGCTGACAGTTCTGCTGAAGTTAACATTCCCCCTGCTTAGTAAGGGCTTTTCCTCTTATTTTAGGGAGAAAAAGGAGAGCAGAGAGAAGAAAGAAGAGTTTTTCAGGCTGGTTTCTGCTTCAAACAGACCTGACACCTGGCCACAGGGGCGGGGAGGACAGATAACAGATGCTGCGAGGCACAAGGGGAGCTGCTGGAAATAATTAGCCCGAGTTACATGGACGCCTGCATCGTTTGCCAGCACGATGCCATCATATCGTGTTACTTCACACATAATCCCTAAAACAACAGCAGCGTTTAAACAAGACACGTGGAGAGACACTGATCCGCTGCCTTAGGGGAGAAGTTGGAAGGAAAAAAAAAAAAAAAAAAAAAAGCTGAAGGTTTCTTAGATCGTTTGAACTATTTCTGCCGAGGCACGATTTGTACCCACTAATGCACTTCCACGCAGAAAAGCTACAGACAACCTTGAAAACCTGGCTGCTCCCCCCGCTGCCAAAGCGGCGGCGCCACCAAAGCGCCGTCCTTGTTTGAGACTCGCTCTTCCGTTCCAAATCCACTCTATCCTTTGTACTTATATCTGGCTGTATAAACATTAACTGGGGGAAAAAAAAAAAAAAAAAAAAAGACAACCCCCCCTGTATGCTGAGGGAGCCAAGGGAAGAAAAACGGAGATGACAGCACAGAGCAAAATAAAAACAAACCGCCAACAAAATCTTAATAACACCACATTGATTTGCACAAAGCAGCGCTGCCTCTCGGTGTACGCACCCGTATATTCCACTTCCACATCTGCCAGTGCCTTGAGGGTGTTTTCATAGGACACCTCGCCCTGCTCCTGGGAGCCCACCCGGTCGTACACGAGCTTCGTCCTCTCGGTGAGCTCTGCAGCCATGGTCTCGATCTGTTCGGCCGTCAGGTCCCATCTCAGCTGATTTGCCAGCAGCCTGGGGGACTGGCTGTCCACCACGTTACCTGGGCAGGTGGGGAGGAAACGCACCGTGAGACACGGTCCCAAAATCCCAGTCCCGAAATCCCAGCTAAGTAGCTAAAGCTCAATAAAAGCACTTAGGGGAGAGGCCCAGCAAAGAAACCCCGCTGATGGGCAGCCGGGCTCGGGAGGCAGCAGGGTGCTGGAGGCGATTGGCAGCCGGATGATTTTCTGGGCACTGTTTCCCCTTCTCGGCCACGACAAACCCTTCAGGAAACCTGACTCCCTCCCCCTCTCTCCCCGCCATTCCTCTGCCCAAGGAGAAGGGGGGGTGTCC